ACTTTTTGCCTTGTATATTTACGAACCTTACACATGAAAAAAGAAAAACATCATATCAAGAAGATGGCTTAGTCAGGCCTCCAGCGAGCGCCGACCGAAGGGAGGCGTGAGCATTGTCTTCGATTTAAAAATCACAAAAGCGCGTTCAGTAGCGCAGATCCAGGTTATTAAAGTCAGGTGACCGAGCGAGTGGAGACGAGCGTTATCTTGTTAGTTTTAAGGAAAAGAATAGCTCTTTGCTTAGTTTAGGCAAAGCAGCCATTTTGAATTTCTAGTGGTTGGTGCACAGAGCCAGTTAAACTGTAGTCCATTCGTATGCTGATACTTTCCAGTGTTGAAATAGTAAATTGAGCACTAGAAATTATTTATTTTAAAGTTAGATAAATCAGACAGAATAAACAAAGATTAAAAAGTCTAATATCCGTGTTTAGGCGCGAAAACACTTTGGCAGTGGCGCCTTAATAACGGCGCCAAAAAATAGACATAAAATAATTTTTTTTTTCTGAATTTTTGCTTTTCCAAATTTTATGCTAAGTTAATATAAAATTAATTCTAAGATTTTATATATATATATGAGTCTGTATCTCTGAGCCTGACAAAAGTTCGTACTTTTCATATGTTAGGTGTATTTTCATTGTATAGGGCGGCGAAAACTGAGCCAAAAACATACCTGAAACTTCTGTAGTTTTTGATTTTTCGAGAGAAAATCATGAGGAAAAAACATAACGAAATAAGCAAATGCACTGATCAATTTCAATGCACTTAAAACGGTTTTGTACTACACCTTGTGAGATTAGTGATCTATGACTTAGTCAATTCTGGCTTATTCGAAAATAATTCCAGCACAAAGACAATTCGAAACTTAGTTTTAAAAAAGAAGCACAGAAATCTTATTAGCCTGATAATAAAGAGATAGCCTGTTCCAGAGCAGTAGTCTCTCCTTTAAAAATTAGTGCTCTTCGTCGTCATCGTTATCTTCATATTCATCTTCATTCATTTTGGCACGCACTGTGTCGATATTCATTTCCGTATCGACGGTGTCAGGATGGCCGGGTGGAAGTGCTGTTCGTTTAATTTCCAACGATTTCATAAATGCATCAAGAGCCTTTTCATAATTACCAATACCTGTGTATATTGCTCCTATATTATTCCACGTAACACCGATATCTGGGTGGTGTTCATGTAAGAGACGCTGTCGAATTTCTAACACTTTTTCTTGATATCTGAGCGCCGAATGCAGTTGAGGAGGATTTTTGTCATTGTAGATGTTAGCTATTATTGAATAGATTTTAGCTAGTTCTGGATGATCATCAGGTAACATAGATAAAGCTTCTTTCTCATATTTCAGAGCTAAATCCAATTCATTCTTCCACTGATAAACTTCACCGATACAGCGGTACGTTACAGCAATTGATTCTTGATCATCGATATTATTTTTCACGATTAATTTTAATGCTTGGTCATAAGACGCCAGTGCCTCTTGATAGTCTTCAAGATTAAATTCAGCTGCACCCAGTCCAAGATAACAATGTACCGCATCAAAATCGCTAATTGAGGGTTCATTTAATAGATGTTGAAAGTAGCCTCTAGCCTTTTCAAAGTCACCTTGTCTGTTGAGCATATAGCCAAGAGCGATCATATCCTCACCAACTTCTTCTTTCAATTGTGCCAATATATCTTTTAGTATATAACTATCTTCATCACACAGGGACAAACTTCCGATCCAAAACTGCTGTTGTTCATCATACGTAATTTGTTCAATTCTGAAGATACTGCCCAATGCAATTAGTACTTCGTCTTCTCCCCTAATATAACTCAAATGTTTAATGGCGGCGAAGGGCTTACAATTAGGCAGACGCGTATCGATTTCGAACTGGTACAACATACAACTAAATTTCGGTGTTTTTTTCATTTGTTTAGCGAACCCAATTGCGACATTTTTACTCAAACTGGTCGACAGAAATGCATTCATCGATATGAATCCACCAATATTTTGTCTAAGCAGGTGGAGTTCTTCGTCTGTAATACCCTGTCCACGATAAACACGAAGAATTCGATTACCAGAATAATTACGAAGAAATCGCTTGTGTTCCTCTTCAAGTTGATTGGATACATCCCTCAAGAATGACCGCATAGCAAATATAACTTCAAAATCAAAGATGCGAAGTGCTTTGTTCAAAATTCGATAAAAACACGTCTCACGTGTATACCACCAAATAGCTCTTTCTGCTCGATAATCACTGTCATATTCATCTACAATTGCGAGTTCATTATCATTGCCTGCAGATTCGTCTTTCAATAGATCAATCAAGTCTTTTCTAGCCTCATCTTGAACACAAGAATGAGACATTTTCAACAGAATATCAATAAATAACTGAAACCATAGAAAAGAAGCGTTTCGCGATTCTAAATTAGTGTTAGACGTGTCACCAGCTGAATGACTATAAAAATTCATTGCAGTTGAAGTAGCGGCTTCTTCACAAATTTTACGATGTTTGACCAACTGTTTAATCAAGTCGTTTGGTTTAGTAAAAACACCTTGAACCTACAAATTTAGGTGGAAAGAACATATCTTGTCATAAACGATATGATTAAACGGACACTGTTCGAAAGTGTCTTATATGAGCAGACTGTAATGTTTTCTATCCGAGAAAGAGTTATTTTCACGTAGCTAAATAGGACTAGCGTTCAAAATTTAAAGAAAAATTAAAAGCTCTCGTATAAAACATTCTGGACATAAAACTATACACCGCTTTGCTAAACGTTCGGTCGGTTCATCCGATTCAGCAGAGTGAGCTCACTCGCAGGAAATGTGCAATTACTTTTTAGTAAAATTTTTCACCGCTAAACTTTTTTTGTTTTTGTTACTGATATTTATGGAAGAAATGAATTTGTAAGTTTTTCTACTAAAACAGAAGAGAAATGGTACAGCTTCAATAGACGTTTCTTGGCCAATTGACAATCTGCAATCGCGCTTTATGATGTTACGAAATTGAGAGGCGGAACGAAGCTATTTCAGCGTTTACTCACTTTTTCATATTCTCTTGCCCAATCTTGACGTTTAGTTCCACTAGTTGTAAAGACGTACAAAGCACTCAGTTCTTCCAAACGATGTATATGTGATATTTGTTCTCGTCCGAAACTATCCGAGATAATCAAAGTCACCTTTATATTTCTGTCTCTGTTTCGTAAATATTCTTCAAATTTGTCGATATTGTCGAACGCCTGTAATTGATACATAATTCGACGAAGCTTTCGTTGTGTTTCAACATTTTCTTCATTGTCATTTACATTACGATCTAACCATACCAAGGTGGGTGTTTCCAAACTTACATCTTCAGTTTTATCAGGCGCCGACGATGCATGCAGTGTTGGTCGAGAAGAAGCAAGAGGATAATCATTACGTGACGTAACTGCTGATGCGAGTAGTGACGTATGTTGTTCAAGAGCATGATGATCTGGTTGTTTTCCTTCTTTGTCGGTTCCTGCGGAACTATGAATGGTAGTAGAAGGCTGATAAGTGCGCAATGGTATCGCTCTAGAATGCAAGACAGTTTCATTTGGTGCTTTTGGCACTGATGAGGATATTGTTGAGGTCACGAAGGGCCGGCCAAGCTCCAGCCGAGCAATTAGTTCCCTAACGTTAACTGAACTTTGGCTGATTGTTACCGGCGTTGCTGTGGCGTCAATACGTAAGTTAGGAGGAGTTGTTCTTTGTGACAAAGGTAGAGATGATGGCTGAGGAAGACGACGTATTGAAGCAGTACAAATTGGCTGTGTATATATTTTTGCACGTGATAATGATTGAGCTGTTAAAGGTATTGCTCGACTTGAATTTGATTGCTGGCGATCAGTGAAGGCTCGATGTGGAGAAGTACCGGAGTTTACTGGTTGATCTTGCGGTAAATCCATCTTCTTCTCTTCTTGCCGATTGGCTTTTTGACTGCTGACTGATGATAGGTCAAAACGATAGGAAGAAGCCATCTAGAGTTATATACAGAAGAACATACTCGAGTAATGAGCAAACCCTCTTTAAGTGGTTTCTTTAGAGTTTTTTCTTGAATGAAAAGCAATACCTATATATTACAGTAGGCGCCAAATGAATTTCCCCCCTACGTATTTTTTCAGAGAAAAATGACAGGATCCATTCTTTTCTCATTTTTCTACACGTAGAAAGAAAGCGCAGAATTTGCTGCATCAGACCCCATCAAGAGCACAAAGTAAGGAT